GTCCCTGTAGCCCATTCCCCCATTCCCTACTAAGCACCAGACAGTCGTTCCCACCAAGTTGATTCGCCAGGGAGCTTTGACCCTAAACCCTAAACCCTAAACCCTAAACCCTAAACCCAAAGCCCTACACTCCAAATCGTTCCCACCAAGTTGATTCGCCAGGGAGCTTTGCACGAGACTTCAGGTTGACGTCTTTGCCCGGTGCCCAGTGTCCCTTAATTGGGGTTAGGGTTTAGGGTTTAGGGTTTAGGGTTTAGGGTTTAGGGAGTTACCTTAGTGATAACCCTACTTACTAAGTCCCATGATCCTTTAAGTATGAGGGTATAGGGCACGCAGGGCATAAATCCCAAACAGACCGCCGGAAGTATGCAAAAAGTGGATGCCTTATAGGAGTGGTTCCATTGCAAGTACCCTTTAGTAGTATGGAGTCAAACCCTAAACCCTAAACCCTAAACCCTAAACCCTTTAGTAGTATGCAGTCTCAAATTAGGCGATCTACTTTTTGGATCCTTCCGGCGGCCCGGGACCTTCGAGTTTAAGTCCTCTCACCTACTACAACCAACCTCTCGCAGGGGTTTAGGGTTTAGGGTTTAGGGTTTAGGGTTTAGGGTTTAGGGTTTAGGGTTTAGGGGTTTAGGGTTTAGGGTTTAGGGTTTAGGGTTTAGGGTGTAGGCCAAGGTCAAGCCGAATCTATCAATCGTCGTCCCAGGGAGCCCAATACCCAATCAACTAATCTTAAGCCACTGAAGCTAGGACATTTTCAGGTGGGTAGTTACCGTTATAGGAGCCTTATAGAAGCCTTATACAAACCCTATATACCCTAAACTCCCCACCTGTAGTTAAAGTGTTGATCAGACGCCTTCAGCAAGATTCAACCCCTTCAAATTCAGGTATATTCCGTAGTTAACGAGTATGCTAGCCCGATAAAGCCCCCCTAGAAAATCAAGCGCAACCCGAGACCGCCCAAGAATCTAGAACACCCCCTATATAAACCCAAAACCCTACCCTATCCTCTTCAATTAAGGGGTCTTGTGGCTCTTAGGGGGCTTCCGCATGAGATCTAGGACACCCCCTATATAAACCCAAAACCCTACCCCTATCCTCTTCAATTAAGGGGTCTTGTGGCTCTTAGGGGGCTTCCGCATGAGATGTCGATCCAATGCGCTCTTGGAGAGGGTCCTTAGGGCGGTTAACTGTTTCCTTTTGGGGTTTAGGCTTTAGGGTTTAGGGTCCTTCTGCTTCATAGATTTTATTTCTGCATTCTGTCCCGCAAGCTTGTTCGAAGTTAGGGTTCTGCCTTCTGCAACACTGCTGGTCTGCGATTAGTCTTGCTGGTGTTTAAGAGCTTTCCCACCTTTCGTTTGAAGTTCTGTGTTTGTTCACCAGACTCACCAGACCTTCGTTTCTAGACCTTCCGGGTGTCTGTTTTGGACGTTATTTTCCAGACTTTCTTTCGTTTCCAAACATTCGTTTCCAGAGCTTCGTTTCCAAACCTCCATTTCCAGATCTGCGTTTCCAGACTTCGTTTCTAGACGTTTGGGTTTGCTACAAACACTACACAAATCCTGTTAAAGCCCTTGGTAAACCCCTTGTTTAAACCACGGAGGAAATTAGATCAAGACATCAAGAAGTCCGGGTCACTAGCAGGACGTAGCCTCGTACACCGGCCAAAAGCCTGAGCCACAACTTGAATCACATGGGTAGTTCTCTAAATTAGGGTCCCTTTTTAGGTCCCCAATATAGTACGGCACCCTTATAAAAAGGACCCTCAAAGAGGCCCCAATTTAGAGAACTACCCACATTCCGTGGCGAAGACCCAGCTCGCCAGCTGGCGCGCCTCGGTTGGTCGGGACGGCCCTAAACCCTAAACCCTAAACCCTAAACCCCTAAACCCTAAACCCGATGGTAGCCATTTTTGCTGAAGCTCAGCTTTTGCAGCCCGGGTAGAGTGACCTCGGTCATGGCTTCGTTGGCCCATGCCGGAACCTCCACGAGCATTCCTGGCTCGGTGATCTTTGATGAGGCTTGGCGCTCTTCTGGTTTAGGGTTTAGGGTTTAGGACTTTAACTTTTTGGGTTTCTGTTTGAACTAGAATAAAGGAGCTAAAAGTTTAACTTTTAGGAGGGGTTCAGAAGTCAGCCAAGGAGGGACAGGCCATCATACCTACACCGAAGTTGGAAAGTCGATGGCGCACAAAGCAGTACGAGAAGGACCAGGAGACATGCATAGTATGAGGGTCGGAACAACTAATGGCACAAGATGATAACAAGAACCCTCCCTTTAGCCCCCATATATCATTAGCAACTAAGATTTTGCCCCAAAGATAGTTATGGTTTCAAGGAGCCAGTTGACGATGAGGAGGTTGACATCGACGCGACGGCCGGTCTTACAAAGAGAGAGCTGGTGCAGATGAAGGCTTTGACGCAGATAAGCTCTTGGCTGCGGTTCCACAAATTTCGGGAGATGGATGTGAACGAGCAGCAGGTGCCCAGCGGATGTTTTCTCTTCAAAAGGCCAGAGTCCATGTGCCCCATCCATGTCGCAGCCAAGCGTGGCCACGAGAGGATCATCAAATTTCTTCTCCTGGCGCGAGCAGATCCCAAGCAGAAGACATCCCGGGGCCGCACGGCACTTGAGATCGCGCGGGAAGCAGATACGGAAGGCTCCCATCGCGAGGCGGTGAGGACTCTGAAGGCTGCCGAGAAGACTGTCTCAGCCCGGCGAGCCATTGAGATGATGTGTAGTTGAATGCATGCTTGCCACTTGCAGCGGGAACCCATGCTGAGGTTGGTTGGCGATGCGGTGTATAGTTTAGGGCTTAGGGTTTGCAAAGAGACATCGTTCACAACAAAGTCCGGTAGTTTTGCGAGTTTGCATCAGCATTTTCCATTCCAGCTGTGCTAGAGAAGCGGCTGCATGAACTGCACAGTCGATTCTCACAGAGGGGCCGATGCTGACTGAGCACAGCTCCCAGAGTTCCGTGGCAACTGACTTAATATATGAGGCCTGAACAAGTTTCAGCGAATGAAGCCATTCCTTAAAGTTCCTTGATCTATCTCATAATCCCATTCTACTGAAACAGGCACTCAAATTGAATCGTGGCTGGTTTTTGTTGGACTTAGCTTTACTTTCGCAGATACGCCTGTCGCTTGAAATCTCCAAGCCTGATGGCAGCACTGGTCAGCGTTGGTCTCGAGTTGCCTAGAGCCCTACAGCCTGAACCGTACTTTGTCGTAGTCATGGTGGGGTTCAGGGTTTCTGGTTTGGTTTAGGGTTTAGGGT